AATTCTGCTGGAGCGCTCTACATGGATTTTACGCTAGTTGTGTATTATTTTTAGTACCTTACGGTAAATATTTTACATCCAATTATTAAAGAAATTGTGTCAATATCTTAAAATTAAAGCAACGCAAACTTATGCAACACATATCTTGTGTACTTCGATAGGGACATACAAGGACGGGGTGTCACCTAAGGGCTACGTACTTTCTGATCACATGCTGCTGGGCAGTGTAGTAGCCACTATATTAGTTATTGTCGTGACTGTTCAAATAGCCCTCGACACGTCGTACTGGACAGTTTTCAACCACATCATGGTGTGGGGCTCGCTTATCTGGTATTTTATTTTAGATTACTTCTACAACTTTGTCATAGGCGGTAGTTACGTCGGCAGTCTTACGATGGTACGTATTGTTGCGAGTCTTTGTCCCTCTCTCTCTCTCTCTCTATATATATATATACTTGCAGCTCTTCATTGCATTTAACACTCGATTCATACTCGCAGGCCATGTCGGAGGCGACCTTTTGGTTTACTACGGTGATATCCTGTATAATTCTCGTAATACCGGTACTGTCGTGGCGGTTCTTCTTCATGGACGTCAGGCCGACACTGTCCGACAGAGTCAGACTGAAGCAGAGACTGGCACAACTGCGTTCCCGTCAAAGCCAGGACATACTGCGTACCCCGTCTACGAGACGTACACGGCGATCTTTACGCTCGGGCTACGCCTTCGCTCACCAAGAGGGCTTCGGCAGGCTCATTACATCTGGCAAAATTATGCGCAAATTGCCAAATGGTGCTGATTTTAAGTTTTCTATGCCGTTTACGAACAATGTTACGAAGCAGGTTAACGTTGCTACAACATCACCAAAGGACAACAGCGCATCTAGAAATTCACACACGCTGGACACGATTAATTTATAATAGTTCGAATGTTTTAGTCAACTCAGTGGACATTCAAGTGCAGGTGACTAGTGAGGTTCTTTTAATTTACTTAGTTACGGACGTTAAGTCAAAATTGAACGCGTCAAATTTATCGATTCTGGTGTATCCCATTGAAATCGTGTTCCCAACATTCTTTTCCTCTTTTTTTTTTTTATGTTAATTGAGAGATGTAAGTGATGTATTGTATGTAGTATTCGAGAGGATCTCTTGAAGCATCGATGTCTGTGATTACGTTACATTTAATTTACATTTATTTATTTGAGGAAATTTTTGATCCAATAGAAATATTACGATTTATAACGGATGCCTATGAACAACGATAATAATGTTAAAATACAAATGTATGTAATTTCGTTAATGCATACATCTAACACAATGAATTCCAGTGGGATACATTGAGTTACACTATAATAGAAGTAGCATATGCTATTTACGTCTATACGTCACTGTTAAGCATTTATAGATTTGTTATAATTACGACTTAAATGTTATGTATTTACATGTTCAATATTTTTTAAATTATATTTTTGCACTTTTGCCAAGTAAGTGCACGGAATATACATACTTGATTTTACATTTTTGTTTACACAATGATTATGTACGTAAATAATAATTTTACGATAATTGTATAATTGTATAGAAAAATAGCTTATGCTACGATATAAACTATGATGTTTTTAGTTGTTATGAAATTTTATATTAATACATGTGAATGCAATCTTAAGTATCAACGTATGAATAATTTTTATATTTTGTTCGATAAAAGTTGAAAAATGATAATTATATTACATCTTGATTCCATCATGTTATTATAAAACAACATTGAAAGCAAGTATTAGTAGAAACTATAGATGTATATGGTTTTTATTTTACCTGAAATTATATCAATTTTTAATTGTTTACTAATTGAATACATTTTATTACAGTTTATACGTACAGTAGATATAAAATGTTTTAATTTATATCTACTAATTTATTATACTAATTTATTACGAAAAATTGAGACATTTTGTATAATTTACATGTCTTAAACAACTTTTCTCTCATTCAAAACTCTAAATGGATTGGAATAATATGTTGGCAACATTTAATTGTATTTTTAATTCTGTGGATAATTCTCGGTCCATTGAAAATCGTAAATCGGAAACCAATGCAGTAACAATGGAAGAAATATTTTGCATTGTCACGCACTGTGTATATAATAGAAGTATTGCATAGAGGTGTCAAAATCTTGTAATATCCTGTCTTGTATTATATATTATCCCAATATGAACACTATTATTGTAAAAAGAAAAACCGCGTTTACACGATATACTATAAGATTAATAGTTACATTGATAATTGCCTTTATAAAACATGAATATAACAAACGATTTAAAATATTGTATCATAGAATTGACTGTAAATATTTTAAAGAGATATATATTATATTAAATGTTAAGTATACACATTTTTTAAAAGAAAGTAATATATAGATAGATCGATTTAAAATAATACGAAAATAGTAGCTATATTATATTACACTATCGCTGATAAAGTTTGCCTTGGACTGACTATTGAATACATATAATATATTAAAGCGAAAAAAACAGTAGTAAAACAATAGAGAGTATGTATTTCTACTTTTAATATTACAATGAAATTTAGAGAGAGATAGTTTGTACGGGGAAAGTATGTTCTACAATCAAACTATAATTTGAACGGAAAACATTAGAATTTTGGTTGCTTTCAAACATTGTGCCTAATCGTCAAACTACACAGAGTTTCTCGAGCTCCCGTGATATTTCGTTAGTTTAGATTTATATAATGTACACTTCGTTTTCTATGTCAATAACAAACAATTATGAAATAAGTGTATTACTTCAACTTACTAGTTCCAGGCGCAGGCATTCGGTAGTTTATACAGCAATCTTTTTTTGTATCACATAATATGATCATCCAAAGTTTGCAATACAAAAGTTGATTTTCTCAAACAAGTTTCTGAAGTTTTTCCTTTGCTTATCATAAAACGTCAAACTTTTGGCAAATATTACGTTGTTGAAGAAAGTACATTACCATTAATTCATGAAATGCTAGTATAATGTCCACGTTCTCAATTTAAGTACTAATTGAGTTTTATATCTCATATTACTTGTTACAAAACATATTTTCAGTCTGAAGAAATTTACTTCTAAAATGAATTTGAATTACAAGTAATGAGACATTATTGAATGACTCTTTTGCATGGTGAAGATGAAATACTTATTAATAATAAACTTATAAATGAATTCTAAGGAAATAATTTGAAAGATATATTTATATAAGCTATAAAAACGATATACTGTGTGGAATTGTATAATATTTCGTCAATATTGAAACCATGCTGTCATAATAACTTGTTTGTATTGAAGCATATATGGACATGTTTCTTCTTTACGTGGAAAAAATATATACTTATGTAGATGTGCACATGCACAAGTGACATTTTTTTTTATAAACGTTAATATGTGCATTTATTTTGCTAATATGTTGTGTTATATTTTGTAATAAATATCTAATTTACAGCTATATTATTTGCAAAATTGAATTCTCAAATTCTAAAGTGTTTTATATGTGCTGTATAAGTTTCAGAAGTATTAACTAATTTATATTTTAACGAAGCTAAAAAGACTAAAATTTTCCAGCAAATGTCTAAATTACTTGTTTTGTTATGTCGTTTTATTATATCTTGTTTTATTATATGTTAAAGAGAAATGTATAAATATTATTTGAAATTTTTAATAATTAATATTGATGTGCTTACTTAATGTAAGACGGGTAAGAATTATAACACGTAGTCATGAATTGTTGATTGCATAAAGTGTTATATGTACATTATAAGTCAAATGCCGAATCAAATTTGGAAGCAAATTGTATTTGTCTGATGCATGTGCTCTATTGATTATATCCAACATTAATTGGGACATAGTATAGATTTGAGAAATGTAATAATTTATCTGAACTTCAGTTATATAATTTGTATTTTTCATAACAATTTGTGATCATTTTTCTGAATATTTGTTATAGGTGTCTTTGTACATGCTTTTATGGGATGTTAATATACGACAATAATATGAACGATTAAATATAATACAGATATGCATTGTATGTGAGTGCTGAATAATCATATTTTTTATATAATTACGTTCAAAAGCTTAATTTATTTTAATGTTTTTGTCTAAAATAAGTAATTTTTCTTTAGAAATAAACTCAATAATTTAATTTTGCTTATTATATACATATATGTATATATAAATTAATTATCACCAATCTAAAACAGTATTGTTTCTGATACTATGCCCAATATTTTCTTGGTATATTGTTTATTTTTATATGTGTAGAGGGAGTTTTAATGATATAACTTGTCTTTTTAAATTGAAACTATTTGTTAATTATAATAAATATCAAAATTAATTATATTTCACGATAGAGCTGTGCAAAGGCGTATTCTATGCAAATAAATATTAAAATTAAAAATGTTCCTTGTACAATGTATGCATTAATGAAGTTTAATACAATTGCAAAATTTTATATGTATACACACATATGTTACAATATTCAAGAGCAACAAAATAGAGAACTAATCATGGTACAGACTAGTGGCATACATAGGCAAACACGTCAGATGTTCTATTTTTTATTTAATGCAAATTATTATACAGATTATTCACATTTTCGTTTTTATTGATGCACCTCTGCTACTTTTGTAAAAGTTTCAATATTCAGTAATATTACTACAAACGCATATTTAGAAACGGTTACTGTGCTAATCGTATGGAGAGGATATTTAGAAAACAGATATTTCTTATATTTCAATTGAAATGAAAGGGACCAGAGTACAATATGTTAACATAAATTTATTATTTATAGCACACTTTATGGTGCTTTTTGAGATTATTTCTCTTATTAATTTACTTTTAATTTATTCGTTATTTTCAAGATGTTTGTGATATTGGTCTAAAACGGAGATATACTCTTGTAATAACTGTAATATAGGCGACAGTGCAAGGGAGAAATGTGTAAATAAAACGTGCTTTGTCACAGATTGAAATAGTCTTACGAATTTATATATATTTGTACATATAAATTAATGGCGGCCCTAATCTCCAAACGTATTTTACATCAAAATAACTATGCATTATTATTTTATAAAGAATTCTCTGTTCCATTTCGAATTTAAAGAACAAGGCACGCAGAGGCGTAAATCATTGCTTCAATATTAAAATGTCTATCCTAAATTATGTTCGTATGTAAGATATGTAATGTAAGATATAATTTCATAAGATAAATCTTCGCATGGCCTTCGTCGTTAAATTTAAGGCATTATTTTTGCGTTGTACACGCTTGACGCAGAGTGACAGAGGATTTCTTCGCTTCGTTAAATCCGAATGCGGCCGATTCATTCTGATACGTGCATTAATATAAATTAAGAATAATTTTGTACTAAATTGTATTTTTGTTGCACAATATTGATTTACAATTTTATGTACATGCATCGGAGACAAATGTGCATTAAAGAGAGAGGTAATTTCAGTGCAGTACAATCAAGTATGTATTATCTGCAAAAAGTGCATTCATGAAATATGAGTTTAGCGAAATTCGCGAAATGTAAGTTGCGAGATAAATTACAAGCTTCTATAATTTATCTCACTTTCACAATGAAACTCCACGAATCCACCCATGATATAATCACAGATCAGCGTATTGAAACACGCTATAGGAGTATCGTGCTACTGTCCGTACTTATTACCGTGAAGGTCAGCCATGCAAGAAAGAAAACTGAAAAATATTAATGCTGTTTAGTGATTAATCAATTATTTTTTTCATACTCCTTCGGAGTGAATGTTTCACGATTTACGAAATCCTTCGAATATCTTTTTTAATCTTTAAGTTTAATAAAGATATTGCAGCGTAACATTATATTTTTCAATTATTATTATTATTGCTACCTGTTACATGTATATCTTATCCCGTTTCTATAATTTTTTTTAACAATCAATAATTACCGGAGATAGTGATTTATTCGAAAAGAGATTTATGCATATAGTATTATGTTATAAATTATACGAAGAATTTCTTGCCACAAAATTCTAGATTATTAAAAATTAAAACAATCACATATTTTTATGTACTATTTATATGTAAGATATCATTAGAGAGAATTCGAATAATATACTTTTATAAAATTGTTTGATACAAAGTGACATAATACTTTGATATACAAAAAATATCACAATTGAAGATCTCTCTAATCTTGCGAAATTGGCAATGTATCTAGTAGTACAACCTTTGTATCTCTGTTGATTTCTAGCATTAATCACAATTAAAATTGCAATCTTTTGGCTAAAGAAGCTCCTTCTATTGATTCTAACAGTTTTCTTTTAAGACTAGGTCTTTCTTCACGTTGACGTTTAATGGTCGTGGGCAGAGGCAGTTTTGGTCCAGTTGTAGGTGCAGGTTTATTACTGAAGTATGGCATTTGCAGCGCTTGGTCGCATGTACACCTTTCCAGTGGATTCACGTTCAAGAAACTAGCAATTAAATCCAGTAGATCGTCGCCGGCAGCAGTGAATATGTGCTTCAAAGGCGTGCCAGGGAACGGCTTGAATTGAATGAAGTCCGGCAATTCAGTCATCCCCTGCCATGTTTCTTCCGTTGGAGTGCCTAGTGTCTAAACACAGAAATGGTACAAGATCAGAGAAATAAAATAACTTTGCGACGGTAAATTTCATATCTACGTATTAATACCTGAAATATTCTGGTGAGCTGATCCAAGTCAGATTCACCGGGCAGAAACGGCACTCGCAACAGAAGCTCGGCTAATATACAACCCACCGCCCACATGTCAATCCCCGTTCCATAAAGCCTAGCGCCGTAAAGTAATTCAGGCGCTCTGTACCATCTCGTGACCACTTGATGAGTGTTTATCCGGTTAGGCGATCCGTAAAACTTTGCCAGGCCGAAGTCACCGATTTTCAGAACGCCCTCCGAGTTCACCAGTAAATTGTTCGGTTTTAAATCCCTATGAAGTATCCAATTGAAGTGGAGATAATCCAGTCCTTGTAAGGTTTGAATCATGTACGCCTTTATATTGGCTGCGGTTAAAACTATATTGTTATCCTTTATTATCACCTCCAGATCGGTGTCCATGAAGTCGAACACCAACGATACGTTTGATTTGTAGCCGAAAACGTCTGAAATTCAACATACGCGTACATAATCGCAGAAAATCCCTTCCACACAATATGCATTGTACACTTTGCGCATTTGCGCACTATTTGCTCTAACAATCGAGCTACCAATTGAGCTGTTCTACATTAGAGTTAAATACCTAACAGGCCAATGATATTGTCGTGTTTCAATTCCAGCAGCAGTTTAATCTCTCGCAAGGCAGTTCGGTTTATGCCGTCTCTAGCTTCTGCACGACTCCCGACCTTGATCTGCAATTACAGATGTAAAACGTTTATGATACGACACCGTGCAAAGCGAAAGAGCGTGCGCTTCATGTAACCTTTGAAAACTAACCTTTTTCACAGCCACAATTTTATTCGTTTCTATATCCCTCGCCTTGTAAACCGTGGCAAACTGAAATTACAATACGGTACAAATGTTAAACATGTATATGTATAATTTTGTAATTAATAATCGAATCGAGTGCAATTGCTGTGCACAAATATGTGCATTGAGCATGTAAAACTGTGTATCATACACTGTCCCGTACATGCTAAGTAGGCGAATCGTGCGATGTGTAAAAACGTAAAAATGAATGTATAAATATTATACGAGAAGCGGTGCTCTTGAATCACCGAAATGGTAAAAAGCAACTTAACCTGTCCCTCGCCCAGAAAGTCGATTTTCTCATATCTCCGCACTTTCTCCGTCATTCTCAGGGCGACTATATTCTCTCGCGATCTCCTCTTTGTTATCCTATTATAATTGTCCTATAAAAACTCCTATTTTCGACGCGTCTCCTACAGTATTTCCAATTTTCCAGATAGCACCAGGCGACATTAGATAACTAGACTCTAGACCGTGGCCGACACTGCCGACAGAGCAGAGAGAAAACTGAGAACGGCCACCGGTAGAACAGATGCGCCCCCTGACAAAGTGGACGTCAACCGAACCAACTCCTTCAGAGGGCGCAGCTGTTTCTAATGTCGATAATTCAGTGTATGTATTCGACGGTTGTCATTGGTTGTCATGGCGACGACGCGTCCAAATAGAAAATATTTTCACGTGCACATTTCGACAATTAGCGAGTGGAACGTCGTAATGTCGCATAGTCTCTCGAGCCGATTTCCAATAACAACAGTCCAAGAATGAGCGCAACTCTCGCCGCCGGCGACGCTAGCGAAAGCAATATTATTTTTGACGTGTCGAAAAATGAAAGGAAATTAAATGACGAATTTAAAATACTTCAGCGGAAACTGAAAGCAAAGTGGAAGTTTGTCGAGTGAGTAGCAGAGTTGAAATGCGCTCAACGACATTATTTATACAACAAATTGCACTGGTTATCGATACATTCTTATCAGATTGAAAAACTTAGGCACGGTCCACATGTTTCAGGAATAACCAAGTGATATCGCAAGAAACATTGGCAAACGCCAAGATCCTGGTGCTGCCAGGGCCGCTGAGTAAATTTACCGAGCTTGAGATGAACTCTATTAGAACTTACTTAAATTCCGGTGGCAATGTTCTTGTCACGCTCGGGGAAGGTGGCGAGAACAAGTCCAATACAAACATCAATTTTTTGCTAGAAGAATTCGGTATAATGGTTAATAACGGTATGCGAAATAAGCGTCGTCCGTTAGTTCCACTGTGAATTTTTTTGCCTTCAAGTGGACTTTCTCCTCTATGTACAAAAACCTACGTTTTAATGTTTGTATTTACAGACAGTGTAGCTCGCATGAGTTATAGTCAAACGATGCATCCTAAAGAGTCTCTAATCTCCCAAGGCTTATCAAACAAGTCGATATTCCTCAAGAATCACGATGAATACATGTAAGACAGTCTCATAACATTCAACCTGTGGTAACTCCAGTTATTAATATATGATTATTTTAGTGGTATGAAATTTTTGTATCCTTACGGGGCAACGTTAAATGTGGTGCAACCGTCTGTCGTTGCTTTATCCAGTGGGTCGATTGCTATTCCAATGAATAGGCCAATCTGTGCGTATCATTGCGTAAAAAGCAGTAATGGCAAGCTCGTTGTGTTAGGTTCGTCCAGAATGTTGACGGATACCTACATAGAAAAGGAGAGTAATGATGCGTTGCGGGAAATGATTTTTGACTTTTTTGAGCTAAATGTCACGGACACAATGGATGTTCATACGGATGATATAGAAGTAAGTTATTTATCACATATGCAAGTTCTCTCTACGAAGGACGATTGACAAATTGTACCTTTATGTGTGTGTGTGTGTGTGCAGTTTTGGGAGTACAACTTTGTACCAGACATAACGCAGCAGGCTGAAAATCCAAAAGTTTGCACGCAAGATTTAGATAATATTGACATACCTCGCGAATACACAAAGTTATTTAATCATCATCTTTATTCTATAAACTTAAACATGATACCAGCCTGCATAAAAGCGTACGAAGCTTTAGGAGTAAAACACGAGCCACTTACCCTAATTCCACCCCATTTTGAAGCACCTTTGCCTCCCACGCAAGCTTCGGTGAGTAAAACATGTAGTCTAATCTAATTCCATTTTTATTTCCATAATTTCTTTCTAATTGTATGCATGTTACACAACTCGAAATAATTCTACAGGCGTTTCCTCCAAGCTTCCAAGAATTACCTCCACCTGCTTTGGAGCTGTTTGATCTAGACGAAGCTTTCAGTTCTGACTTACTAAAATTATCACAACTTACCAACAAATATACCGCGACGAAGGAGCTGTCGGATGACAAAGAATTATATCACTATATCAGAGAATTTGGAAGTATAATAAGGATAAACAATTCCAACACACACACCGCTAAAGAAGTATTAAATTTTGTCTTTCAAAAAATCTGCAGTTATAAGGCGATGCACGATTGAAATTTTTGTATAGAAAAATGTTGTAATTTATCGTAAATAGCTCATTTTCTATACTAGTCGATTATTTAATAAATGAAGGAGACAATTGTATTACATACATTTTATTTCAACTGTCCCTTTTCCAATGACTTTCATTGTCGTATAGCATCTATCGGTAATGCAGAATATTTGGAGCATAGTTACCGTCTCAGCTTTCTCCGAGACTTGAAGAAAATGCAGCAGTGAATGTACGACGGAAGTGAATGGAAGTACGACCAATCGTGATCGTTGCCTCTGAGACTCAAAATATTACTTGCGCTGAAAATATAATTAAAAAAACTGTGGTCGTTTGGTCTGCAATAATAAAATAATTGTCGCCGCTTATAGGAGACCTCTGACTTTTATGCAATCAATAAACCACTACAGAAATGTCTGTGTTTTTCGTAAATGCGTAAGTATACAAATTTCCATGATTTTTAGGTTATGTGTTGTTGTATTCGGTACACTAAAGTATGTATGTAAAAAACAATAATATACTCATCCGTGCAATAATTCTTTAAATTCAATACAGTTTACTCTTCTGTTTTTCATGTAATTTATATGGTATTTTTTATTTTGGTATATTTGTAGCAATAAAAAAGATATATCTGATATCACTAACAGGACTAACAGGAATATAATGAAAAGGTAGCACGTTTTATTGCAAAATGACTTTATATACGCTAAAATTATCTTTCCCGGTTAAACAATTTTCATTAACACGAGTAAATGTATACAATTATATCGAAACGTACATCAACTATGTCCATACATATTTCTATACAAGTTTATACAATTCTACACAGTTCTGTATATTTTTATACATCTATACATGCTTTTGTATGAAACTTTTTTAAATGTGAAAAACTGTTCATTTATAATTATGTGTAATTGTACACCAAGTTATAATTTTCTCTTAAAAAATTTTTCATATAAAGACGTGTATGAATCAATAAAATTATATACAACTGCGTAGAATTGTATAGAAATATACAATGTAAAAATATGTGTGGACATATTTAATGTATAATTTTATATAATACTATATATATTTATGACCCTTATAGAGATTTAGATTTTGAAAAGATTTGATATAATTTAGATTATACTTTTTAATTTTTAATTTTAGAAATTCAGTTAATTAATTTATCATTATAGTATTTATGTAATATGTAATTAAAATGTTCATGTTTGTACAAAATTGTGATAACTTGAGGCAAAGTTTTCATTAATACAATAGTACTGTGCGTAATAAATAAATAAGAAATCATAGAAGAGATTTTTGTTTTGTAACAAATAAAAGTAGGCATATAAAGTGCAATTGTAAAAAGATTTTTCTTCTATTTTTAGAAATCAAGATAGCGAAGTAGAGGGTGACTCAAATGGCGATTTACAAATCGCTTCACCGGGCAATTCCGAGGCTCAGCAAGCCTTGGCTCATTTCTGGCCAAAAGCTATGGAAGAAATAAAAAATATCACAACTGTTAGTAAGACTATATAGTAATTTGATAAAGTTTGCTCTTTTGGTATCTACATAGGTAGTTTTGTTACACAGATGGATCTTAAAACACAATCTTTACCACTGGCAAGGATAAAAAAGATCATGAAACTGGATGGAGATGTAAAAATGATAAGTGCAGAAGCACCTATGCTTTTCGCCAAAGCGGCAGAAATCTTTATACATGAACTGACCCTTAGAGCTTGGGTGCACACGGAAGATAATAAGAGACGAACTCTTCAACGAAATGACATTGCAATGGCAGTTACAAAATATGATCAATTTGATTTTCTCATAGATATAGTACCCAGGGACGAGATAAAACAAAGTAAAGCGCAGAATGAAGCCACTGTACGTACATCTATGAACTCGGATCAAGTTCATTATTACTTCCAATTGGCCCAGCAACAAGCTTCGGCGAATCAAGGTGTGCAGAGTAGTGGCACTACTGCGCAACCCATACAAATTGTTCAACCTTCCAGCGGGCAAATCCAGACCATCAATATTGGCAGTCCTGTAGAAGTATATATATATATGCACACCTATAGAACAGGTTTTTAATTGATTCAAAAGAAATATACATGCATAATTAATCTTTGTGATTTCATCAATTTTAGGAGAGCACTAACACCACTACCGCCCAAACAGTTACGGTCCAAAGTCCACAGCAGTCGTCTAATCAACAAATTATTCAACTGCAACAACCGCAACAAACACCCACCACGCAAGCTGGAGGAATACAAATTGTACAACAGATCGTCACTCCTAGCGGCGAAATTCAACAAATACCTGTAAATATAACAAATTTCTTTACAAAATGACCTACTTATTTGTCTAATTGCACATCATTTTCGCTCTTCTTCTTTTTTTTTAGATTCAGTTGACTCCCCAGCAATTGCAGATGATTCGCATGCAGGTGCAAGGCGGAAGCAATCAACCGATTATAATCCAAACCGCTCCGATTCAGACTCAACCACAATTAATACAAGTTGCACAAGGTTCTCAAGCTCCAGTTTTCTTACAAACCTCCACTGCTGATACTGAATAATATTAATTAACTTTAATACCTTAGCTATATTGATATTACGACATAATATAACGAGAGAGATTTTGATAAACTAGATTATTTTGTAACTAAAGTTATTCGATAAATTAATTGCCGTTACATTCAGATATAAATATCTTTTCTTATATGCAACTTGACAAAGTAAAAACAGTTGTCTCTTAATTGAAATTATTTGGTAATTAATATCAAGAATCATTGTTTTTCTTTTATTCGCAAAAAGACTTTCCTTTCTATGTATTAACACCTACGAGATTTATCACACAATGCAATAAATGTATCTTCATTGCAATACTGTCTCGTCTTTTTTTATTATATTCGCTGGTCGCTAAAGGAATATGCAGTGTGCTAAAAATTGTTAACAAACAGAAAATCGACACGACGCGTCTATAAACAAAACAAGTTTTAATAAGTGTTCATTTGCTAAAAAATTCTCACTTATTTCGCAATGTGTCTTTCATCTTGTATGCCGTGATCTTTTTAAACATGCCATGGAAAATTATTACCCGGGAATTCTTTCTCGAAAATATCTCTGTTCATCCGTAGTGCGTCCGTGATGCGTTGTTATAAGCTGATCGAAGGGTTGGTCACTGAAGCGAAATGAGGTGAATCGAGGCGATGTAAGGTGAAGAATAAAGATAAGCAGCCAACGCGAGATGTAATCTGATTCGTACGTCGCGTTCCTTAGCCGCTGGTTGCCTGCTTCGCATGGCTGAGCTTAGGACTGGCTGGTGCAACTTGTATTATGTTTCACGTTGCTGCGGTTCTTGTCTGGCGAGTCTTGACGCTCAGGATCCCCACAATAGCCTCGAAATGTCACGTAACAGTAACTACACGTATTCTTATTAATTCGTTAATATGCGCATTAATGTAACGCCGTTATCCGTAATGTAAATAGAAAATAACTATGGTACCTTCATTAATCATTCGCTTATCGTGGAACACATATATATTTATACCATTATATTGTTCACTGGCAACAAATGATAATAAATTAATGAGCGAATGCTGTACAAGTGATTAAAAAGTTCATCCCTCCCTCTCTCTCTCTCTTCAATGGATTGAAAACATTCCTAGCTTAACAAACATCGAATAATGAATATTCCCTTCTTATCTAATAATTTGGATTCTAATATATTCTACGAGGAATCAACTGAAATACTTAAACGCGAATAAAGTATGTAGAGTAAGATAAAATAAGAGCCAGCTAAAGAGAGACGTTGGCGGCCGATATTTGCCGATGTATTAAAACTTGATCGATCGGAGGAATACCAATTCGCCGAGGGAAACCCTCGAATATATGTACATATACGGGGTGCTGAAAAGAAAAGAATGTATATCAAGTTGAACCCTTGCGAATTGCAATTTAGTCGGTGCATGTGTGAAAGTCGAATAGTTTTAGTTGAGATATAAAATATTCTAGCGCTCCATAATTCTCGAGGACCAAGTCATTAGGCGCAATCCTGAGTGTATGTAATAAATCAGGAGCATCGGGACATAATAGAGTGGGTCCAGACGTGACCTACAACCCGGGCGTCTTTTTTTTTCTCTCCTTTTTATTAGCACGGAACAAAGATGCGCTCTATTTACTGATCGCCGGCGTGGTCCTGGTCGTCAAGGAAACCACGCAGCATGTCGCGCCGGCATGTCACGTCCGGTGATCCGGTAAGGATCATAATCGGTCATCGAAACCGGCGCGATGTTTAACGATAAATACAATTTATCTGCGCTGCGAAAATGTGAATGGACAAAAAAAAGACAGGCAATTTTCGGAATCGCGACATTTCCCCGTTGCCACGGACAAGGGGAAAGGCAATTTTCTCGGCAGCCGAGAACATTTGAAATTGTAGCGCTCGTCGAAAATTACACTGGGGCTATTGGCGACCGTAGAATTTCAATTCCCGCAGCGATCGCGGCCGATAGATCCTTTCCACCCCGCGATCTACGCCACTGCCTAAATACTCGGATTTCACGACATGTTTACAAAGATCCTAGAGATAAGTTGAGAATGGCCGCCGCAGCCCCATGTCTCCTCCATGGGTGTAAGGTGACAGCTGCCTGCGCCTGCGTTGCCTGCGTACACGTGCACACGCATACTGTTACGTACACGCACACACACACACGTGGAATATCCACGGCGAAAGAAAAGACATGGAAACCGAGTGACAAACGTAAAACGAATTAATAATTATTTTCATTCGCAAGTCGCCTAATACTTAATGTCTCAAGTCCCAAGGAGAAGTGGAAAGCGAATTTCACGTTAATTGACCAAATCTATGCCATATTTTGGTCAAATTGACGTCACCTTGACTTGTACAAACAGCAAACATGTGGAATTGAAGAAGCAACCTCTTCCATTGTTGTCATTCCTTATTGTAACGGGACCAAGTCTTGCTCGGCGAAAAAATTAACAATTTTCCCGAAAAAAGAAAAATGTGTTCAACGTGTGGCAATTTTCCTGCTTTTCGTCGGACGGTCATAAATAACGGCGGTCAGTACGCGTTTAGCCCCGGGGGTCTGAAACTGAATCGGAAAGATAGAACACCCTGTATAACAAAGGGAGAACGCACGTACCTACTCACACCGATATCTTCATCGCATACGTACATCTGTCTTCCACATGCACGCAACCACGAGACGGGACGGGGAGAGAGAGATATCTCGCTTACTTAGCTTTGGTCCAACCTACTCGCAGGATCTCCGCACGTGTACATACATCCGTATTTTTGCAGGACGCTGTACCTCAAGTACCGCGTCGTGGCACTCATTGAGGAAGAAGCGCGCGTTGGCCTCTAAAATCTCCATCGGGATATTATATTTACATCAACATATCTCGTCCATCTTCTTCAGATCTTGCTCGACGAGAGTGTGTCAATACTTATGTCCATTAACTCTTTGCGACCCTATGCTGATGTAAGCTTAAGACACGATGATTCATGATGATCCTCGCGAGGCTCCCCCAACACTTGAGGCAATGAATGATTATGATCGATAAACAATATTCTTAACAGTATATAAATTTCTCTCGATCATAACTGGCTCAAATATTTATAGCGTCTCGACCATTGGTTTCGCTCCTTTTCAAGCACGATCTAAAAAGATTACGGTAACATTAAAAATACAAAATTAAAAATTCAAAGCGCGGACATACAATTTTATATAAAAATGACAAAATCGGTAAGATCAAAATTACAATAGGGCCATAATTATATTCTAATATTCTCAACATTTGTAAAACCTTTATAAAACGCGCTCCAGTTACATCTTTCTTAAAATTGAACCGACAACAAAGATTATTTATCGAAATAATACTATGGCAGAACCTCTTCGTACTCCTTCGCTTTATTACCATCTGCGACATATCGATTACATAAACCACAAAGCTCTCCAACTATCGCTTGTGACGAAAGTTTGTAAATAAAGATTTTAACTTGAAGCCCTCCTATTGTAGAAGAATGTAATGAGTGCAAAGTGACAAGAAAAAAAAAGGACGATTATTAAAGTAAGTAAAGACGGACGACTTAAACAGCGGTCCTGAAAGGGAGTCGGGATCACATCCCGCGAGCAAAAATAATAACGTTACCGGTGTACGTGCCGTTAACAATAACCCACGTACTTCGAGCCCGTCTGGCGAGCCCCGCGACACCGTATACGTCTCTATGTACCTGCACTTTTCCTGAAGTGTTGGTGCACATATACCTGGGTGGTCGTTATGTACATTTGTGCATCGTTAATACATTGAAGACGACTACAAGCCACCCGCATATCTCGAAGAACCGAGTTTTCTTCCCCCCCCCCCTCTCTCTCTCTCTCTCTCTCTCTCTCTCTCTCTCTCTCTCTCTCTCTCTCTCTCTCTCTCTCTCTCTCTTTCTCCCCTTCCCTCGCTCTTTCAGTCGCGATTTGCGAAGCTCTTATTCCATTACATCATAAAGGTATCATTCCGCCATTTCTTCACCGGCCATGCAGCCGTGGCCACCGACCACTCCAGGATGATGACGCCATGTCTACCTCCAGCGCGCGGTCTCTCTTTATTATCCGTCTACTCTGCGACGAGTGACTCCTGAGAGACATAGCGATAACACCCGTCGCGTTAGAATCGATATTTCTTCTCACGGTATATCGCATTTGTCCTGAGAAACACGGCGATACGCGAGTCGCCACCTCCTTCGAGAGGATGCTGAAAATTTGATTCGTTCGAGAAGAGCTGATAGTGGAAGACGTAACAGTTTCGTGTTCGGCATGTGCACGCAGTTTTCTTCATGCCGGCAAAATTGAGGAAGGATGCGTAACTCACTAGTTACACGTTTCAAGGGGATAAATATATTAAGATACCTTATATTATTTTTTAAATTAATTCTAGTCAAACGCTCGGCCTTTGGACACGGAACAAAGATCACGCATCAACAAGATCAGTGTAATTGAAATAAAATGGTGGAAACAACATTAGTATTAATGAATGAAAAACATGAGATAGCTTATAATAATCTGGATATTTAGTTTAATGCTTAAAATTAAAATCTATAGCAAAAACAAATATTACGCATCCTGTTTGTAAAATATCGTATACTTGTGCTCTTACGAGCGAAATACAATAAATATAAATACGTAAACAAGGGGAGTTTTGGCGAATCTACATATAATAAGAGGGTTTCCGATAAAGAGATAAATAAACCGGACTCTCTCATAAACACGAAAAGATTCCTGTGTTCGGCGTTCCGTGAAAATACAAAAACTGGGGAGTAGATCAGCCGTACTTATCCTACCCTCGCGTTTACCAGACGTTACGTAAAAGCATTGTTCTCCTTTGTCATCCGTTACAAAGCTCTGATCGAGATGTCGATCACCGAATATTCGCTACTACTTCACAAACAGATCCGTTGGCGCAGGGCAAATTTCCTGGAAATTATAAAAGAAAATTGTTAAAATTTATATATTGTGGCAATAACAAATAAATACATTGCGGACGTTTGTGGACGAAATAACGCTTGGAAACAATTGCGAATAAAGCGTTCGCGAGCGCAGCGCTTAAAGGTTTCTCGAGATGCTTTTATGGTAACGTTAGCGAGACTTTTAACGAAATTTGAGAGTCCATCAAGCTGGTGGAAAACGCACAATGGATGTTGGTGCGGGATGTAGGAAATTATATTGCCGTCCATGTTGTTCCTCATTTTCGTCATCGTTCTTGAAAAATGCAGACTCACCCTCGCCGTTACAGTTACATTAGCCGCAAAGAGGTTTCAGGTTTAAAAGTCCACAGCGTCAAGTTTATCCCCAAAAGATGTGGCGTTCTGTAGGAAACGAGTGAATTGTTTGAAAATTTATGAAAATGCGTAATGGCCAATTTTTTTGATTGAAATGTCGGTCTAAAACATTCTCACGGTAAAAGGGAAAAACTTGCTCATTTATAATTACATATAACTTTGTGCAATTGTACACAATTATGTACATATAATTATAAATAATCAATTTCTCGCATTAAATAATTGATCGATTTATGAAATAATTGAAAAGGAAATTGAAAGTCAGAAACCAAGTCAGGACGCGGCTTCCTCAGTTTCAAGGGTCGCAGGGGGCTGCGCGCTAGCAATATCTCGTCCTTCGCCCTCCATAATTTCACTCATGGCGAAGGCCCTAATTTGTTTTGTCACTGCGTGACAGAGGAAGCAGACATCTCGCGGCGCCTTTATCGCGCCGTAATCGATAAAGCGAGAAAAAAGGACGCAGGGACATTCTCGCCTTCCAGGAACCCACCGTAGTATGACGTAGTGCCGGTGGCGTGGACCTCCCGTCAAGAATTCTCTCTGTCTCCGTGTAAAAAGAAGGAGCCTCTCCCTCCTCGTTACGGGCGCAAAGTGAAAGAGCGATTAATTTGGAAATTATCTCAAGAGTTGAAACTTAAAAGAAATTATCGGACAACCGTTATTCCTCGCTTCTTCATTCGATGTTAATTGTTTGGGGACAAACTTGCTATCGGTAGTTAACTATCGGGCGGAGCAAGAGATAAAAATGCGCACGGCGCGACCGACGCTCTCCGTTGCTCTTTTTCCCACTGATTCGTGGGAGCCTAAAACACGCATTCTACGACTCTTATCAAGATCGCCCATAGATCCTTTTAATCGCTGTCTTCCCTGAAAAACTTGTCCCGCCAGGGAGGAGCGTCATTGCCGAGCGACTTGTACAAATGAACGGTGACAGGAGGTGACAATTATTCGAATGTAGGGGGTAGACCCTCTTTTTCTCCCGCGTTATCTCTCTCTCTCTCTCTCTTCCCTCATTCTCGTCTCTGTCCTTCTCGCGTGTCGCGTCGTCGTCCGATTCTCCTTCCTTATCTCTCGCGCCATCACCCACCACACGCGCGACTCGTAATATTCTCTCGCTCTAATTAACGAGCGACCTGTGTGCGCCGGTGAGAGCGAAACAAGGAAGGGGGGAGTGCGCGACGGAGAGGCGATTCATGCGATTCTAAATAGGTATGCATTATTGAGCAGCATCATTGCAATTGCGCAAACATGTAATAAAAAAAAAAGGGAAGCAAGAGAGACGACAAACGAGACTGACAGAGAGACAGAGAGAGAGAAAGGAATTGTTGTGGAAAAATCATCTTTCCGGTATGCGCTTAACTCATGTGTGTGGCAACATGCGGGGGAAAAAAAGAGTGGAAAAGGCGGAAAAAGAGAGCGACAAAGACAGACGGTAGAAAAGTGGAGGTTAAAGGACGAGAGAAGAGCGCGGAACAAAGAGAGGCTACGGGACGAAGAGAGGGAGAGGAAAGGTGAGGCGAGGCATGGCGAGGCGAGGCGAGGTGAGGCGAGGCGCGACGAGGAGGAGCCGAACGAGCGGGTGACCACGTGACCACCGGGCGGGGGTGGCAGGCGACATTTCGCATGCTCAGAGCTCCACAGGCCGCGACGTTTCTCGCGCACACATTGGTGAGGAGGCCGCCAATACATCTGTACGCGACGCGCCGCGCCGCCGGGGAGAAACGATGCTGGAGCGAGTCTGTCGCGAGTGATCTCCGCCGCGCCGGGGAGAAGCGTTTTTCCGAGCGGTAAGGAAGGCCCCCCCGTACACCGGGAAAATTCAACTCGCCGCTGCTCGAGCTTTCCCTCGCGGCCCCGCGAGCGGACCCGGTGAGATCGCGCGTTGCGCGCGCCAGGACTCTGGGAGGCTCCGTGCATCCCCCGCGCGAAGCGAACGGGCGGAGCGGCGATCCCGATTCCCGCATCCCGCGCCAAATATATATATATCTCTTGCGCACGGACGACGTGGATCTCGACGGTGCGTTGGCTCTACGCGTGTGTGTCCTGTGTGCCGGGCGGTGCGTGAGAAACGCGTGACACAGGGTGGGTGGCTGGACGCGCGCACCACGATGTTCCTCCCATGGTCCTGGAAGATGCGAGCCAAGTGAGTCCGCCCGAGGAAATAACGGGTAAACGCGTGGATTCCGACACGACGTGTTTACGCGCACACGCGCGCCTCGCACACCCCCGGGATGACGATGCTGTTGTCACAGGGAAACCACCGACGGCATCCTTGAAGAGCGTCCGAGCGCTCTGTCTCGAGTCTGGGGCCATCGACGGAATGTAAGATTCTGATCGATATCGCGGCGTTACATTTATCGCGGCAACATTCCTTCTTTTTCTCTCTTTCTCTCTCTCTCTCTCTTGTGCCTATAGTATCTCCAGCGACAATTTCCATCTGTCGAATCGGCATATGTCATCGTTACGCCAGATCGTGTCGCGTGTCGCGTGAGATTACATCTTGCTCTAAATTAATTAAGTCTAACGCAGAAGCTGCAAGTATAGACGGATAGAGTACACATTTTAAAGCAACACGAGATCAAAATACAGAAAAGACGCGTATAATTTATATTTATACTCTATCGACATAAATGTCGTAGATTATTAAATATGCTCGGTACGTTTGTGTAAGTTTCGCTTGAGCAATTGTTGAAATAAGTGAAAGTTTTCATTATCTATCTCTGCGCGCAAAGTTAATTTATTCAATTGAATTGTTAACACGTCTCTCGTATCGCAATTTAAAGAGTAACTTGAATAATTTTAGAGTAATGAGCTCCATTAATATTTTACTAATTAATTCCGAGAACACTCTTCGAGGTGAGTTTTTGTGACTTGTTCAATATTTATGTATGCAAGATGTGAAGAAGGGATGATTGTCCTTTTCGTATTAGTGGTATCAGGAATGAAAACATCTGTCCTGTTGGGAACGTTCTATGCGTGCACATTTTTCGTAAAATTACTGAATAAATGAGAGAGAGAGAGAGAGAACCGTAAACGGCTGTTTGCGGATGTTCGCACACACGCGTAAAACGTCATTATCAATTGAGCATGCGTAACTTATGCATCTCATTCGGCTCGTTACGGCGGTAATGTATTTTAATTGGCCATTGCGTAGTATCAGACAATACGTTCTCTCCAAAAAGCCTGTCGCGCCGCTTAACGACAGTTTTACCCAATTATTCTCGTAACAGTTCACAAAATTATAAACGATGCCTTGTATAAACTTACGTTCTGTATAGAAACGATCAAGTTTTAATATTTTTCGCAAGTGGCCTCACAGTGAGAGGCTGCAAAGTTGAAAATAAAAAGTATATCATTTCGAGAAACTTTCAATTTTTCCAATATTGAGGCAAGCTGGTTGAAGCTTCCTCAATTTATCAAGTTTTAGAAATTATCTGGAAAAGAGAAACCATAACAACGTAAACACACAGGTTTTCTGTGAGAAATAACTTGTATATTCTAGAGTTTATGTTTTATCAGTGCATTTTAAAACGTTTGAAAAATGATTAAACTCGACTTTTCGTTAGTACCTTGCCCTCAGCATGTGCGCAGTGTGTTAATATCTCGGTGATTGTTGGAGAAAAAAATCTTAGACGTCTAATAATTCTACTTCAACAGTAGCGTCATTAAATTATGAAGCTGGCTAATCTAACTAGCTATTACGAAGAAAATCCAGGTAGAAGAATATATTTTTACTAGTAGGATAATAAAGTTTAACACAAATCATAAATTTGCTTAAATAATAACGTAGAGGGAAGTTCTCTATTATGAAATAGTGGATTTGCCACATCAAAATTTAACCACAAATCTTAATTCACCAACGATTACACGATCTAACAATGAATTTTCCACTAAACAGATTTCACTCCAAGGGCAATAAATTCACGATGAAACCAATAGATGATGCCTATTAATTTAGCAGAAACCCTGCAATCTCTTATTAGGAGCTTACCACATAATAGGGAACTTAATTTAATAACGAGCGATTATGAAGAGAAACCGATCGAAAAAATAGTGTTTTCAAAAGATGCCCGAGAAACTTGTATTCTTTCATGTGGTTAGATAAGTGGGGATAAAAAGCTTTTGTCTCGGTAAATTTCTCTTGTGTAGCCATCCTTAGGCTTTACTTTTCTCTCTCTCTCTCTCTCTCTTACGATCGACGACGTAAACGAAGCCATTAGGTAGACGAGAGAAGAGACTTGCGGATAAGCAAGCGGCATTCCTCTTGTTTCGCTGCATTTCGTTTTCCCTGACGGTTGACAGTCAGACAGCAAGCTAAGCAACTCGCCCGCGATAAACACTTCGGCACAGGCTTTTGTTTAGATAAGCGGAGTGCCTTTCATCTCTCGCTTCGGTGTGCATTATATGCGACCAGGCGCGGCGCGGCGAGATGAGTTGCGACGATATACAGGGTGGCAACAAATTCGTGCCCCCTTTTGGCGCGGTAACGTTAATCAGTTTCAAGTTCTTGCCTAAAACAGACCAGAAAATCGCCATTTAATGGAATAAGTTTCATACATCTATGTGGTCTACGATAACTTGTTTCTTAAGACTTTCTTTGCGGTGCGTACATACTTCAGTATCCGCACGCATAATATATGCATAAGCCAGTAGAGATCGTTCGCCAACGATGAAAGGAAAAGTTTTCAAAGCGAAAGGCGATCAGGTGAAGAGCTGGCGTTAATCAATTTCAACTTTTTGCCTAAAACAGAAACCGGAAAATCGTCATTTAATAGAAAAAGTTTCATACATCTATGGTCTACGGTAACTGAAGTTTCTTAAGACTTTCTTTGCGGTGCGTACATATTTGAGTACCTGCGCGCATAATACATACATAAGCCAGTAGAGATCGTTGGCCAACGACAAATTTTTCAAAGCGACAGACGATCAAGTGAAGAGCTAACGATAGGTCAAGTCAATATTCATCTACGCTTTTCCAACAAATGGCAAGTTAGTTGTGTCTTTCGTTCCAGAATGCCAATTATCCAGTAAACGCCAACAGTGTGACTGTTACGTAAAAAAATTACAAGTTGTGTTGCATATTATGCGTCGTCTACAATGCAGTAAGCCTAAAGTAGGAGTAGGAGTAAGCATCAAATATAAAGGCCATTCTACAATTGCGTAAACGTAGTTGTAGGGTTGTAGGAGTAGAAGCAGTAGTAAGTGTTGTACATCAAAGTAATATACAATAGAGTGAGATACGTCGTAATTGAAATGAATGATTAGTTAGCTTTTACGTCCTATATCGTTGTAGTCGTGGAAGATCAAGTTCAGCCATCTTTTACAACAGGCTTTACAATCGGAAATGCTAGTTTAAAACTGTGTTTTACAACACTGTACAACCGCTAACAACCACGTTTACGCAATTGTAGAATAGCCTTAATGCCTGGTCTACAATACGTG